GGGATTGGACACTTCGAATTTTGACCATTCCCTTGTTAGCAGAAGAAGTATGGATGTGGATCTTGGAATGCATTTTAAATGGGAGAGTATTTGAAGAAACGTAAACAAAAAACTGACTTAAACGCAGAGAAATAAGTCAATAGTAACATAATACGGTTATGTGGCATTTGCTTTTCAACCGGGAGGAAAAACAATGACCTTTACACTACACTCACCGAATAAAATTTTGTCATATATTCATTGAAGAGAGCGATGTTTTCGACAGGTGTTTTTCCTTCATTTTTCATGAACTCGCACATTTCCGGTATACCGTAACCATCAGCGTAAGCCTACGAAAGAAACATAGACATTAATTCGAGGAGTCAAAAAGCGAACCCCTGTGTTGTCTCCGCTGTACTGCACAGCTCCTTGAAACTGTCCATATATATTGGAGAAGAAAAACTCCATATCCATACTGTTACAGTACGAATAATCGCCCCATCCTGGTACTAATCTGTAATGTAGCTTTACAAAAGGTTTTTTCGACAAACAAAACATAGCAAAAAATCTCCACAACACTTTTGCACTTTGCGTTTTGCTTCTATGTTCCGCTCTATATTCTGATTTGCAAATTCAAGTAGGACAAAGATCAAGGAAAATTATCATTCATAACATTGAATTCTTTTTGTCGGTCAAAACTCTTGATTTACGAAAGATCACAAACGACACTGAATTTCCAGTGATGGATTACTTTACTAGAAATCCCCAACCCGAACCTAATCCTATCCCTTTTCCACCCTAGATCCTTTTACACGGAAAGAATACCTGGTGACCGTGGCCTTTTGCAGTGAGATGTGTACCAGATGTATAGTATTTGCCCCCGTTAGCTCCCCATAGGAATCTCCGCGCCGCATACGCAACGCGCGCTCGGTTTGACGTTTCTGATTTCACTCAAGAACATAAAAGCATATGTGCATATGTCTACGTGATATGAGTGAAATGAGAAGTGGAAGTCTCTAATCCCAACTCGAGAAGAGCCCAAGTAATAAGAAATTATTCAACTTCCATTAGCGCTCAAATTTCAGTGCGTCTCGTGGATGCTAGTATGACACATCCACTGGTTAGTGAGGGAAGAGACAGAAGAAGTCGAGGATCACTTCTAAACATTTCTCTTCTGTGCTCATAATGAACTCAAAGAGTGTACGCTCGAGAGCACTGTTGTAGAAGCAAAGTCTTCCTGGCCTGTCAAAAACGTTTAGAAACATCTATGCTCCACAAAATTAGTCGATAAACCCGCTTCTGCGCAAGCAATCTTCAAAGAGATATTCTCTCAAACTATAATCAATTCTTCACAATCAAGAAGA